TCTACAGTGGGCATAAATAATCTTTTTTTTATTTAATAGCATTATTTTCTTGGTGTTGGAATATTGCCAGTACACTCTGCTTGTTTAAATGTCTGAAATTCCTCTGTTCCTCTCCTGTCCTGACTAACAGAAACAACAAGCCATTATAATGCAATAGTTTTTCCCTTACCCCATCTGAGGCATTAAGGAATGTATTAGCCAAAGTTGGATGTTCAATGGAACCTTGACACCCTGTTCTTCTTTTGCTGTGATTTTCTGATGAAAATCAATTCCTTTGTTTCACTCGCTGTGGGGTTTTGTTTCTATTCTTCTGTTTCACCTATATGCTGGTTCTTATCCTCTGAGTGCTTATCATCCCTTGTGCACAGAATTTTGTCAAAGTGCTTTTGAAACTTCATGTATGTTAATCAATCAGTTAATCTACTTACAGACATTTTCCAATAAATCCAGGAATTACATAAGAACTGATTTCCACTGCTGAAATAATGCTGGTTACATCTAGAATTTCCATATAACTTGTTGTTCTTTCAGCCAAGTCAAGTTATGCTGTACAGTGTGAAGCCTATTAATACCCTTGCTCAATTCTAAATATATGTAGTATTTTAAAGTGTTTTATGATAGAAGTTTTTAACAAAAGCTTGTGTATTTTTGTTAGCACCTCACCTGCCTTATATCTCCATGCAAGTTTTGTGGGTAGATATGTTTGGAAATTTAAAAAAAAAAATTGTATTTTTGTAATTGCTTTTTTTCTGCATACCTTCTTCTAACTCTTTGGTCTCTGAGTCTTGACTGAGAGGCAGGGGGGATGCTCAGAACTTACCTGATATGGAGAAGGCATATGAGGGAAAGGGAATGTCAACCAGACCAAACTACTCATGCTTCAGGCTTTTCAGACCAGATAGATCCTGAAAGTGTGACATACACTGAATACTTAGATGTACAAATACAAAAGTTGTTGCAGACATGATTGATTAAAAAAAACCAAAACAACTCAGCAGGAACAATAAGCACACTATACTTCTTGCATAATAGCTGAGTGGTTTGAGCATTTTGTGGATGAGGAGAAACTGTCCCTATTCCAAGACTCCACTGCATTTATTAGTCTCTATTTCATCCTGTTCTTCTCTAGTCTAAAAAGTGTAGATTCTTCAGGGAATGTGGATTTGAGCACTGTTGCCTCTTTCCCGTTTACTTAGATGCTAGGCTAAAAAACCCTCAGATTTCTTTTCTTTACTGTGTTCCTGGGTGTCACCTCCTAATAGCCACACTGCCAAAGGTAATTCTTTTCCCAATGAGACCATTTTCTTGAAAAGTGAAATACCTGAAAAAGGCTGATAGGGACCAAAAGCCATCCCCATTCATGGGGAAGTGCTGTAGCATGGTTCTGTTACACAGAAGGTTGACCTTACAGTTGATCTTAGAACAACCTACTGTCTATCTTCCCCAGTGTAGATACTGTGTATCTTCCCCATACTTACTGAAGAACAGTAAGTATGTCCCTTCAGATTGCCCACAGCAGAGGAGCCTGCTCTCAGTCCTCAGGACTGTGTAGCTTGCAGACACCTCTCCCTTTGGCAAAGTTTCTTTCTAAGTCTACATAGGCTGCCTAAAAGCTTACTGCTCTGTACAGGCCTGCTATGCTTTAGTGTCCAATATTATGCAAGATGATGTCTAGTTTGAGGGAATCTAAAATTACTCTAAAATTACATAGAGGAAGGAAAAAAAAGGCATATGCCAAAAAAAAACCCCAAAACAAAACAAAAAAGGCAGCCTGTCAAAATTGTCTGCAGGTAAATAAACCCCTACCATGAATTCCAGATGTAATCCCAAGTGACTGTTTCCCAGCATTGCCTATTACTGTGAGCAACTCCCTACTGAACCTGAAAGCTCCTCAGGCATTTAACTATATTCACCCACACATGTTAAGGAGATCCTGTTCTGGGGAGATAGGCACTTATCTCTTGCCTCAAGTCCCAATACAATCCAGCTTAGGAAGACAGGCATTTAAATCCCTTTTAGAAGCCTGAAAAATTAGCAGCAGTCAGAATTATGTCTGGCTTTTTCGGACATGGGCCATCAGCTCCCACATGGGTGCAAAAGGATGAGAGCATGACTTGAGCTAAGCACAGGAATGCAAGTGTGCATTTTACCATTAGAGAGGGACTAATGTGTCACTGACATCTTACAAGGCTACCCCAATTGCTACACCACTCTTGGGCAAAAAGCATCAACCTCTGTTACTGTGTGTGGATACGAGGAGTTGTTGGCTCCAGTTCTCATCTCAAGACAAGAAAAAACAAGGGCAGGAAACTTACATGTGGAAAAGATGTGTCATACAACAGACAAGAAAAGCAAAGCATGACTTGTAGCTCTCCACCCTGTGCCAGAGAGCATCTGGGCTGCTAGGCCAACCTTGGGTTTGCTTGTGTCCTCTGTGATGTGGCCCTGTGCCTCACGTGTTCCAGGCTGCACAGGCGCTCAGCTGCAACACCCACCATCCCCCCTACCCCATGGCTGCTGGTTCTGCCATTCTGCTGGGAAGTTGGAACTCAGGGCTTAATTGGAGTCCAAAAACATCACCCACTTCCTTTCCTACAAGTTTTTGCATCTTTACGCAAAATGTGGGTGGAAGCACTGTGATCTCATTAATGTCAGTCCTGCAGTGGGGATAGAGGCTGGATCCTGTGTTGGAGTGTTAGGAGTGTTTCAGATGAGTTTCCAAGAGGACATCAGTGCTCTACCTGCAGGCTGGCTTTGCCCACTGGCACTGGGAGCTCAGTTCCAGCCCGTGGAAAGAAGGAGGCACTCTAAGTGCCTCAAAGAAAGCTGTCATTTTCTGCAGGTCCTCAGAAGTGCCTCTCTTTGTGTCCTCTGCCCATACAGCAGAGCTGAGGAATTAGATTGCTCCTCTTGTCCCTTCCAGGGCTAAGACACCTAAAATTTCATTGAGGTAATAATGTCTCAGTGAGGTATCTAAAGTAGATGAATGAGATTACAGCCTGAATATTTGGGGCTTTGGAGTAAATGACTGCAAGAAAAACCAAAGTGTCAATAATAGGATGCAAGCTGTTGAAAACCAAAGAAAAGAAAGTATTGATTAAAATAAGGATGTATTAGAGGACTCTTTGAAAAGAATCAAAGACTACAGCCTTTTGTAATTATTTTCATTCTTCCTCCATGCCCCATTAGCCTTTAGAAAAAAAATAATTTAATATATTGTTGGAAAAAAAATTTCTTATCTTTTCTGTGACACTGTACTCATGAACCATGGAGGGCTGAAAATCATTTGTAACACGCTGAGAAAAAGTAGTGGGTCCAATAAGACTCTAATGTTAACCCATCAGTTTTCCCTCAGTTAGTCTAATTCCTTGGATAGTATTGCCTGAAAAAAGACAGAGGAGTATTTATTGCAGTAGCTTGAATATGCATCAATTGATTTTATTATACTAGAAAACCTGAGAAAGTATGGTTTATTTATATATAGATTGTGCAAATACACTGTAGGCAAGTTTCACAGTTTAATGTAGAAAGGGCTTTCATTAATGGTTTAGTTCTGAGAAAAGGATGTAAAGCAACATAAAAGAGTCGGGATTTGATTTTCACTGAGATAACTTGAAAGAATAATTCACCTTTAGTAAATGTGTTTCTTCTTTCATGTTGTTTTATGTGTTGCTCTTTCTAGTACTCCATGCATGGCTGCAAAAAATATACATTAAGAATGAATCTCTCATTGATGTGACTTAATGATGTCTATAATTTTTGTTTGCCTAATTCTCTGTGTTAATAAAAAAAATCACCAGAGATCCATAAAATTAAATGGTTGGTTTTGTCCTGGAGCAACTACACACTATGCTTTTACTTTAGGTGTATTTCTGACAGAAGACATGAAGTCAGTTCTGCTGAGCAATGTAATCTTGATACTGAAAAAGTATCTTGTTAATTGTATTGTTTTTTAGAAAGTATGGAGTGGAGGTTTTTTCAAAGGCTAGGAGACTACATTTCAAATACACTTTCAGAACTTTGGCTTCCCATCCTTCTCAGAGACAAAAAGTTACCTAAAGATTTGAAACTGAATATATGGGCCAACGTCTGCTATTGTGCAATGACTGATTTTGGTTTGTATCGATACTGAGGCTCATCTGCATTTTTGAAAACCCGCCGGTTCTGTAAGTGAAAGCCACGGCATCAGGACTAGGCGCTCTATTTCCTGTAGCCGAAACCAGCCACCTACCGCAAGAGCTGGCAGATAGGACCCGCTTCTCTGTCCCGAGTACTCAGACTAAGGCTAAAACTGAAAACGCGATATAGCATGCGATACACCAGTTATCATTTTAAAGAACGTATTCGTCAGACAGGTGTAAAATTCCGGCTCCTGAGGTAGGAAAGCTCCGTACACCGAGCTGCATTTGGAGGAATCGGTACCTGCAACTGAGACCTCGAGAGGAGTGAGCCTGAGGGATGCCCGAGGTAAGAGGGGCCGTGCCCAGACCCGGCGACGCCGTGAGAGTCCGCAGCAGCTCCTCATTTGTGCCAGAGTGAAGGGAAATTGTGAGACAACCCGATGAGCGCTTTCAGCCACGGCATCCTGAAGCAACGCTGTGTGCTCACTCCGCCTAGGCACTGACAGGCTTGTAGCTGTCACCGATGTGGCAGCAAGAGTCCCTGCGCCCCAGCCCCGGCGGCCTCACCGGGCGGGCTGTCACGCCGCTACCGCCTCTCCCCTGCCTGCAGCTGCCGCCCCTCTCCGTCTCCCCCTGCCCAGCCGCTCGGGCGTCCCGGCGGGGGCTGAGCCGCCGCCTTGTCGCCGCTGCCGCCGCCGAGGCCGGTCCGCCCGCCGCCGCCCCTTCCCTTCCCTTCCCCCGCCACCGCACATGCCCAGAAGGGCGGGAGCCGCGGCGAGCCCGGGCGCTGCTGTGACAGCGGCGGCGCTTTCCCTTCCGTGGGTGGGTGGGGGCCGCGCCGCGCCCCCCGGCCCGGCCCGGCCCGGCGGAAACACTGCGCCGGCCGCCTGCTCGCCCAGTGCCTTCCCCGCCGCGCCCCGAGCCCGCTGCCGCCGCGGGGCGGGAGGCGGCCATGTCGCTATTGTCTGCGCTGGTGCCCTTGCTCCGGGTGTACTGCATCGGCCTCCGCGTCATCCTGCACCAGCTGCGCCGCCGCTTCCAGCCGCGGTGCGCCCCGGCCTCAGGTGAGCACCGCAGCCGGCGCCGCGGGGCGGGGCGGCTCCGGGCTGGGGGGCGGCAGCCCCCGCCGCGGAGAGGGGAAAGTTTGCCGCGCCTCCCCCCACCCACCACGGGCAGGCGGCAGTTCGGGGCCCTGGGGCCGAGACTGCGCGGCCCAGCCGGGAGCGGCCGGACAGGGAAGGGAAGGAGAGAACAAGGCAGGGCAGCCACGACCTTGGCTATAGCGAGGGGCGCTCGGGCCGTGCCGCATCCCCCGAAGCGGGGCAGGGGCTGAGGCACCGCGGCGGCCCCGGCACGGGCGCCGCCGCCGGACTCCTCCCCTGCTCCCCTTCGCCGGCCGAGCGGGACCCGCCGAGTTGCCCGAGGGCAGCGGCCCCGGGGGGCTGCGACTGGCGGGGCGCCCTCCCCGCCCCCGCCGCACCCCGCCCTCGCTGCCGGCGCCAGGCCGCGGCCCCACCGCCCCGTCCGGCCCCCGGGCCGCGGCCGCCCCGGACGCGGGGCGGGGCGGGGGGCCGGGCCCGGGACGGGCGCCTGGCTGCAAGCCGGCCTGACTTGTGGTCTCGGGAGGCGGTGTGGGGGTTCCGTGGTCCGGGGGTCCCCACTTCTCTTCTTCCTCTCTTTGGCTCTCTGACAGTGTCTCCCGAGACCTCGGCTCAGAGCCGCGCGGGCGCTCCCTCCCTCAGCCCAGGTAGGTGCTTGGAAGGCGGGTAGCGGCGGGCAGCTCCCCCGGCCCCGGCGCTCCTGCTGCCCGCTGTGCCCCCACCCCACCGGGGCCTCCGGGACCGCCGCTTTCGGCTTCCCTGTCCCGGCTGCTCCAGGAGGGGAACGTACCCGTGCTCCAAAAGCTTAGTATTTGATACCGGCTGACACTCGCTGACAGCCTTTAAGCTGGCAAGTGAGTGACACTTGCAGGTTTTTTTCTAAGGGACTTCTGATTAGTCGTTAGTTTAAGAAGTTAGGTTTTTGCACTTTTCTGATTTGGATCAACAGTGTGTTAAATGCTGACTTAGCGGAAACTTTGAGTTTATCAGGAAAAAACAATGATCTACTTGCATTACTCTTGAAGGCTAAAACATTTCTGAGTTTATAAACTTAGAGCAAACTATGAGTTCAGGCAGATGTGTAGCTTATCGTCATAGCTGACCATACAGCTGCGTTGAAGTCCTTTAACTTTCTCTCTTTAACAGCAAGTGAGCCTTTGTGGCCCTGTCCATAGTTTTAACCAGAGGAATAGTAAAAAAGTAATATTGAGAGGGCCTAGTGTTTCAGTAAGGAATTCAGGCAGATGAGGATATTGGTATAGACAATATCTGAAGTACTGGGAAGGGGATGGAACAAGTACGCTGCACAATAGGAGCTTATTTGTTCATCTTATCACACCTTGCATCCTTGGGTAGTGTTTTGTGTGCTTTTTATTCATTCCTGATTCTTCTGCTGGGGTTCCCTTCCTCATTCTCAGAAGGCAGCAATGAAATCCTCAAACAAACGAGAGGACCCCGGTGACAAAAAGGGCAGATGTGCATATGATTTGAAGTCATCTGAGCATTTTTCTAGCATTAGCGTTTCTTGGCAGAGGAAATTTGGGTATTTTGCCTAGGGTGTGTAACACTTTCCAAATCTTTTTTTGAACCACAGAGAAACAGCATGATGAAAATGTGACCCAGTGTTTTGTTGCACGCTGCTCTTTGCTGCTAGTGGAAAAAAAAAGCATTGAATTTGGAAATGCCAGAGGAAGGCAATGAAGATCCAACCCAGGAAATGCCACTTACCTAAGTGGGACCAAGGCAGATTTGACAGATGTGAAAAGTTTTCTTTGAGCCTTAACTTGTGATCTTTTTTTTCCAAGGACAAGTGGTTTCCTCCTCAGCTTGTTGTTTGCACGCAGTTCCCTCTTGGCAGTTACCTGCTGCCTTGCTTTCACTCGCTGTGTCCAACCATTGCTTGAAGAGCTGCTTCACCTTAACATCTGCAGCCTTTTTACAGAGATGAACCATGTTTCCATAATAACTTCAAAATAGTGATGTCAGTGTAACAAAAAGAAAAGTGTTGTTAGAACAAGCTTGGGTCAGTAAACTACAGTTCCTGTAAGAAAACCCTGAGTGCCTTTTTCAGGCCGTAATCTAGAAAGGTGTGTATGTTTAAAATTTTCTGTATCTTTTCTAAGGGGTGTCCGTAACTCTCACAAGTACAGGCATTTTATTGTCAGGGTGCTTTCCTCGGGAGAGCTTGGAGTTGCAAAGGGGAGCTGGGAAGGACAGGACTGGGAGGCAGAGATAGCCATTCCTCTGATCCTCTCTTCCTTGGCCCCAGTTTCCATATCAGAGTTCCCGCTCTCTGTGCAACAGCACTGCAGATCTCGCTTGGAAGATTTAAAAGAAAGAGATGTCTGCTGGCTTGTCCTTTAGCTCTGTGGATGAGTGAAAGGTTCTGGTCTCAATGCAGCCCTTCTGCCTCTGAATTTTCCAAGAAAAGCTTGCTTTCTTATTCTTGTTGTGAAGAAGGTCTCAAGATTTTAATCCAAGTAAACAAAATTAGTTTCACTTTTATTTTTCCTTACCCTAACTCAAGAGTTGTGTGCTCTTGGCACATGTGCTTTTAAAACTGACCCATGTGTTCTTTCACATCCTACTGGTGTTCATCTGATTTTTATAGATGGAATTCAAGACATTTTTTTGGGGAAAGACTTTCAGCTCTGAAATCTAGGTTCACTGCAAAAACCTGGTAATTGTTTTGAGTTGCAAACTGAAAAAATAATAACATTCTCTATTCAAGTGAATGTCCCCCACCTCAACACAGAGTAGGAAAGGTAACCTGAAAGTCTGATCTTGAAGCTCAGGGAAGGAAAATAGAGACCTGAGACTACAAACGGCATAGTTTGTAGTCAGCGATTGCTTCGCTAACTAAAATCAGCATAGAGGAAAGTGCAGAAATAAAGGGGAACTTAAGTTAAACTTAAAAATACTTCTCCAAGTACTAATTGCATAAACAGTATAACTGCTAATACCTAGTTTTAGTGTTCAGTGGTTTAAACTATTAGTAGTTTTCTTCGAAATTACTGTTTGGACTTCTTTACAGTGCTTAATCTTAGTTAATTGGAGGGAGGAAAAAAGCCGTGCATGACTAAAGTTCCTGATTAAAACAGCTTTTTAAAAACACAAATCTAATCAGTGGATTGATAAAAGATAAACCAATATTAATTGTGACACCAGGATATTACCAGTGGAAATGTGATCGCCAGAAGTCATCCTACTGATAAGAAAAATGGTTCATATAATTAAAAGCTTCTCAAGGAATTTTTTTGGCATCTTTCTCCTGCATTTTTTCTTCTGTACATATTTAATTGAAAGTTAGTAGGGGAAACCTAAATCCTGAGTGTTACATAGTAGTTTTGAAGTCTTTGTAGTTAAATTTGGAACCTGTAATGTGTAGAAAAGGAAAACCTGTCTGAAGAAGGTGATTATGTGGAACAAGTTAAGGAGGTCTTAAATGTGACTCCTGTTCTTCTTAAAAGTTGTTGAAATTTCATACTTTTTTAAGATTTCCTCAGTTTTTAGTTACTCAGTATCCACATTTGTACCAAGTTTCTTTACAGTTAATTGTGAAATGTTGATTTAGGATCATGCATCTCTTAATTTTGATTCATATTTTGAGGTCTCTTACTTTATATGGCTAACGCGTAGTGGGAGCCTGAGCACTGCCTGCTCAAAGCTGTGTGAGCTCCAGGTAGTAAATCATCCAGAGGTGGGTAAGGAAATGACCAGGTAGGAAGGATTGATGGCAGGCAAAAATGCAGTTACATCAAACAGTTAAACCCTCTCCCCACGCATGCCCCTAAAAGAGTCATTAAGTTATTTTCAGAATGAGGAATCACTTGCTTTATGGTTGCTGCTCTGGTGACTGAGGCAAAGGTTGTGGGACAGCGATACCGATACCCACAGGGTGCCATTGCTGTGCATGCACAGGGAGGCAGAGCTAAGGTTGCAGGGGGTCTGCACACCCCATGTTTCCTCACATCCCCGTGCTTGGTTTCACCATCCAAGTGACCGTCGTGCGGGTTTTGAACCAATTTTCTTTGCCTGTGGGGAAACTGACCCCTACCTGCAAGGGTAGCAAGGCTGCCTTCCAGGATACAAGGCACCACTAGCATTGATATTTTGGCCCAAGGCCTGCTCTGGAGAGGGAGGTCTTGTGTTTGTGTTAGGAGAATGAGACAGGGGGTCTGAGAGGTGTGAGGAGACAGCACAGCCTGCCCCGAACAGCCCAGATGAGGGCCAGAAAGTCTGGACTCTTCTCGTCCTGTGGCAGCAGAGTTCGCTGCAAAGCCAGCAGAGGATCCTCTCTGCAGGCTCTTAGAAACCTCTGTCCTGATACTGGCCGGTGGTGTTGGCCAGCTGTGTGGAGGAGGCAAGGGTATGAAACAGCAGCCTCTCCAAAGGTGCTCTCCTCTGGGTGGGAATTCAGGGTTGCTGTTGTTTTTGCCAGGAGTAGACTATGAACACTTTTTCTGCAAGTGAAGTTTACCTCCTCCTGGAATAAAAGGAGAGGTATGGGGTTTGGGTTTGTGTTCATAATGCTAGTTATGCTGTATAACACTCCATGAGAGGCAGGCATGATGAGGAGCTTATATCTGAGCTGTTACTGAAGGCACTATTATAGTGGCACATCCTTAGCTGTGGCAGTGCTACTCTGGGCCACTATTGCCAAGTGCCTGATACATCACAAAATGAAGGCAAAGCTGTGACATACATAAGAATGAAGAGTGGGGTGAGTCTGTAACACTCCCATACTCTGAAATAACTTCTACTTTGTCAGTTGGTGACAAACTTTTTATGATCCAAGGTGTGTCATACTAATTTTGAACATTAAAGATGCATCAACTCTTTTATTTCAGTGCCTTCCTCTTTACTTTCAGGAATTGCCAGATAAACTGCAGGGGAAACTGTAAGATTTAGTGAAATGCCATGAGCCTCTGTGCTTCCTCAAGACAGCATGTCATGGATTGAAA